AAACGTGAATCCACTGTGTAATCGTTTGCAACTTTATTAGCAGCTTCCTCGTAACATTGCGCCAACAACATAATATGAGTATAACATCAAAGTCTCTAGTAACATCCTCTCTGCCCCCTAAATAAATTATAATAAAAAATTCACGTGGAAAAATAAATAAATGACAAGAACCAGCAATTCCACATTTCTTTCTCTATTATCTAAATATACCTACACAACATTTTTTATTTTATTCCCCACAAATCCAGTTTGGCTTTAAATGCAGCTACTTTATTTCTGAGATGCACCTGTATGTTCTGAGTGAGTGCCAGTTAGTTTCTGATTGGCAGACAGCAGGTAGATGTCTAAGGAGAGGAAGCAGCCTGTTTCCCCAGCAGAGAGCGAGCTTCTGCTGCAGGGCTACAGGGAATTTAAAGAGTTAAAGCATATGTAAGCCAACTCTGCAACAGTGGTGACAATGGGCAATGATAGATAGGAAAATATGGCCAAGAAATTAAATGCATAAGTATCACTTTTACAAATCATCTCTGTCACCACCACTGCATGTCCACTGCTTTGATATCAGGCTATGATTTGCATAATCTCTGCATTATATTCAGAGCAAGTGCAAGCACAGTGAGAACCTGGAAAAGGTGAAAGTACAAGGATATTCTGCAAACTGTACATTACTGTAATGTATTACTCTTAGCCCTTTATTATTCCAACACTGAGTGCCACTATTACATCAGCTAGGTGGCTCTCTAACTTTGCACTTGTTTCTCCATCCATTCTGTGTGCTGCTGCCACTCACTAAAAGCTGTGGGGCTGTGAGGCGGCTCATGTTAGAGAGTGGGAAAGGTATGATCCAAGTTAGAGGTGTGTGATATTGCATTAGATCCTTCTTCTGACCATGAATCTGAAAATGTTATATTTATGACTCAAGCTGACTGAGTTTTTTCCCCGTTTCCATGGTCTCTTGTGTGTGTGTGGTCATTAAAGTGAACTTCTGATAGGAGAGGAAGGGCAAAGCCATGCTAATGCTATGTGTCCTCCTCACTGGCTCCCTGCAGAGCTCAGAGGAGGAGTCTCGCTGGGTGGAAGACCTCATGAAGATGCACACAGCTCGGGTCAGAGACATGGAGATCCTGACAGGCCTGGACCTGTACCGCAGAACCACCCGGAGTTATGCTGAAATCCTCTCACTCAAAACCTACATGCATACCTACGAGAGCGAGATCTGATCTCCTTTGCTCTGTTAATATAAATCTTCCTGATCTTTTTAACCATGGTGGATGTATAACATGTGGTACAAGGAAGAGACGTGGTCATCTCTCTCTTACACTGACCTACACCAGCTTTAGCTCTCACTGGATGTTACAGCTGTCATGTTCTGGCCGTTTCACTGAGCATTAGGGTTAATCTTGTTTATTTGATTTGGCTATTAAGATACAGCTTGAACACCACTGAGCTACTAGCTCACACACCAACTCAATTAAATTACAGTTCGAATTCAATTAAACAACATCAAACTGAAAGAAACCTGCCATATTATTCTGGCATTCTAAAAAGTGTTTAGTTTGTCCAGGCCTACCAGACATGGGCCCAGGCACCCAAGAGGTTAGGGGGGGGTGTCCAAATAAAGCGAATGTTAATATTTCTTGGCTGAATGTCACAGAGCTCAGTTAAAAGACTGTAACTATATGCAGAATGACCTGAAACAGACTCAAAATGACCACAAAGAGATGCAAAACCATCCCAAAGAGACCCAACACAACTGCAAAGAAATAACAAAAAAAGAACATAAAAACATGCAAAGAGACTGCAAAGAGACATAACTATCAAAATGAGATGCAAAACTACAAAAAAAAATAAAAATAAATTTTTTAAAAAAGCTGACGGTTCTGTGTTGGGGGTCTGGGGGACAGTTTACCTCTCTGTGCACCTAATCCAGCCATGGTCTACAGTACATATACTATATGTAGACATGGTTGATATTTTTTCTCAAATATTTAATTTTACATCTACTAGCACTTTTACAAAACTTCACCATCAAGTCACTCACATATACTGCAGATGTTCCCTTGATGATATTTGTTTTAAAGAAATTGTATAGTAGCCCACATAAAAAATAAAATTTTCATACATGTGAAAAAGCTATTACATTTTAAAGATATAAAATTGTATTTGATTGCACTACAAAGATTACAACAATAACAAATTCAGTGAACATATATGATCCTGACCCACTTGCTTCACTTTGCCATTAAGTTTACTTAGTACACTATTTCTTGAACAGTTTCTCACTATGTTCAGTTTACAAAGAAATGGCCTTTATTTTTTGACATGGAATTAAAATGCAGTATGTTTGTGTGTACAGAGTGTGTATGCTGACTTTGACATATTTTCTGTTTGTGTATGTTGCGATGTTTAATTTTGTTCAGTGCACATTCCATCAAACATGTAAGTGATAATATTTTTATTGTTTTCCCTAAAACATTTACCACCTGTGAGACGGACCTATTTATGCTTTATGTAAATGTCATTACAATAAACAAAATAAGTGTTTGTACTAAATCAGATGTGGTTAGCCTACTATATGTCTTCAGTCCGTCACAGTCTGTTTTTCAGCTGTGGACTGCTTTTAACTATACTCGGCAGTAGCGGAGCGACTTTATCAAAAACATTGTTTCATTGAGTTCCATGATGAATATATAGTATGTCTAGCATTAAATGCAACTGTTTGGTAGAGCATATCCAGAGATGGGAAGGATGTGCAACAGATAAGGGTGATTAAAGACAGAGATGGAAAGGTGCTAACAAGTGAGGAGAGTGTGCAGAGAAGATGGAAGGAGTATTTTGAGGAACTGATAAATGAGGAAAATGAGAGGGAAAGAAGGGGGAAGAGGTGAATATTGTAGAGCAGGAAGTAGCAAAGATTAGAAAGGATGAGGTGAGGAAGGCTCTGAGGAGGATGAAGAGTGGAAAGGCTGTTGGTCCAGATGACATACCTGTAGAGGTGTGGAAGTGTCTAGGAGAGACAGCAGTGGAGTTTCTATCTAGTTTGTTCAACAGGATTTTAGAGAGTGAGAAGATGCCTGAGGAATGGAGGAGAGGTGTACTGTATGAGGATGTCAGGAGTGGTAGAGAAGTGCATCAGAGTAGTCCAGGATATGTATGAGAGGAGTACGACAGTAGTGAGATGTGCTGTAGGTCAGACAGAGGAGTTCAAGGTGGAGGTGGGGCTACATCAAGGATCGGCTTTGAGTCCCTTCTTGTTTGCTATGGTGATGGACAGGTTGACAGATGAGGTCAGACAGGAATCTCCATGGACAATGATGTTTGCGGATGACATTGTGATCTGTAGTGAGAGCAGAGAGCAGGTGGAGGAACACCTGGAAAGGTGGAGGTCTGCTCTGGAAAGAAGAGGAATGAAAATCAGTCATGGTAAGACAGAATACATGTGTATGAACAAGAGGGAGGGAAGTGGAACAGTGAGGTTACAGGGGGCTGAGGTCAAGAAGGTGCAGGAGTTTAAGTATTTGGGGTCAACAGTCCAGTGTGATGGGGAGTGTAGGAAAGAGGGGAAGAGGCGAGTGCAGGCGGGTTGGAGTGGGTGGAGAAAGGTGTCAGGAGTGTTGTGTGACAGAAGAGTGTCAGCAAGAATCCAAGGAAAGGTGTACAAGACAGTAGTGAGACCAGCTATGCTGTATGGGTTAGAGACTGTAGCAGTGAGGAAAAGACAAGAGGCAGAGATGGAGGTAGCAGAGATGAGGATGTTGAGGTTCTCTTTAGGAGTGACCAGGATGGACAGGATTAGGAATGAGCACATCAGAGGGACAGCTCAGGTCGACTGTTTTGGGGACAAGGTCAGAGAGGCCAGATTGAGATGGTTTGGACATGTGCAGAGGAGGGATAGTGGTTATATTGGTAGAAGGATGTTGGAGATGGAGCTGCCAGGCAAGAGGTCAAGAGGAAGGCCAACGAGGAGATATATGGATGTGCTAAAAGAGGACATGAAGTTAACTGGGGTGAGAGTAGAGGATGCCGAGGATAGAGTTAGGTGGAAACAGATGATTCGCTGTGGCGACCTCTAACGGGAACAGCCGAAAGAAGAAGAAGAAAGAAGATGTGATGAAAGCACTTTCATTTTGAATAGCCAGGATGTGCTTCTCATCCAATTCATGAAACATTTTAGTTTTTACGATGTTTTTCAGGCTGCCTGCCTAACCAACATCATTGTTCGATGAAAGGAAGAAAGCACCAGGTGAGAGTTTAAACTTCACATTAAACGCAGCACATTGAACGCACCACAGGCTGGTTGAAATATGGAGAAACGACGCACTGGTACTTTCGCTTCCTAACACCGAAGGCTGCTGGGGAAAGTTGCTGTTTTCCTTCGAGTAGGCAGTACATGTACTTAACCGAAAATACCCGAATGGGAACTTGTGACATTTGACCATATTTACTTTCTTTTAATCCTCGGTTTTTGCTTAAAGTGCAGTCTTTACAGCGCTCTGTTGTCGACAACACAATGGTAGGAGTCATTTGTTTCTAAAGTACAGGTCACTTTTCTCTGGGCTAAATTACAGATAGTTGATATAGCCGATGGTAGGGACGCAGCAAGAAGCTATTTGACTTTTAGTTTAATTGTCAATACATATGTTCTTCCAAGAACCTCGCCAGTAGGCTGCTGGTGAAGGTCGACTTTTAGCTGCTTGGGACACGAATGCCTTTGGAGTTGCTGACAGTGTGTCTCTGGGGCGTGTCACTGAGGAATGAGAGCCATTTAGGAAACAGCTGTAGTGCAAAGGGAGAATACTTATGGGTAAATATGTATACATTAACTAACAGTCCAGCAAACAGCTTCTGGATAGCTGTCAAAAAAAGAAGTTCCAGTTAAAAACAATTTCTTTGTTTATTTACTCTTTCTGTACATCTTATTTATTAAATTTATTAAAGTGATAGTGCTTTAACCACTATTACTGAGCAGGGTTCATGGGCAGTACCCATTCTTGTACCAGACACAGGTTGTGTAATAACCTGATGAGGATTCTTCTGAAAGATATATTATAACATCTGCAACAGCTGATATATTGAGTTATCATTGTGGCTAATCTTAATGTAAATCACTCAGCGTTTGTACAGTATATGTCTGAAATGAAATTTCAGGCATAAATCTTGGAGCTCCCAGTGCAGCTCCTTGTTGTCTCTTATCCCACAGAGGTGACTGGTCAGCAGTAAATATGGGTCAGACAGAAGAAGCCAAGGCATCCTGCCTTGACATCCTTAACTACCACAGAGAGCTGCTGGTGTCCAGGCTGAGGAGCATTCAGTGCATTGTGGATAACCTGCTGGCTTGTGGCTACCTCTGTGAAGAAGAAGTTGAGATTGTACAGCAAACTGTCACCAAGGCAGATCAGGTGGGAGAACTAAAGATATCTGTTAACTAAAGCCCTTTGCAGCTGTTTCATTTTCATACATATGTTTTTAATCTAACATGGCTGGTTAAAATTCTGTAATAGGATATAAAGTTTGTAAATTTCCAGCCAAAGCAGACTTTGTTCCCTGTGATTGCATTCTAGGTGCGCAAAATCTTGGAGCTAGTCCAATGCAAAGGGGAGGAGGCCTGTGAGTACTTGATTTACATCATATATAAAGTATGTGATGCATACATAGACCTCCAACCATGGCTGAAAGAGATCAACTACAACCCAAGCAATGCCATATCAGTGATGAAGGTGATTAACACAGATCCCAGTAAGTACTGCAGTCACTAATGGTACTCTAAGCTGCCAGGTGTTCTTCTTTTATGCATCATGTTTGTCACAAACCCATAGACATATGTCTGATGTCCAGATGTCAGACTGCTTTGTAGATTTAAGCCACAGACAGGCCTTGAGGGAATTTCTTCAAATTTGGCACAAGTGTCCACCTGGACTCAAAGATGAACTGATTAGATTTTGGTGTCAAAGGTCAAGGTCAGTGACCTCACATCGGTCCCATTCCTGTGAATTTAACTGGTTGGTGGACACACAGAACCGCTAAGTGGTAATTTTAGTTTTACTTTGCAATTTTGGTTACTTCTAGCAGTGAGCAGCTTCTCTTATCACATTGTCCATAGTACTGTGGGACAGCTGTGACTACCAGGCAGCAAAAATAAAAATCAGCCTCCATCTGCGCACTAACAATATCAATAAGTTGTAGTAGAAATTAGGGTTAGGTTTCAAATCTCACCCGCATGTAGTGGAATGTCTTTTTTAGGTACCGTATAAAATGTGTCTGTAGCACAAAGTATCAAAACCTGGTGGTCAGATTTGTAGTGTTGGTTCATTATTTTATCAGATGCATTTATAGTTTTTTTTTTTCTTTTTTTTTTTTTTAAGTGTGAACTGTTGTAAAACTGCAGAACAGTGGTTTGCACTCAGGTTGAAGCAGGCTAAAAAGCCATTCACTCCCTCTCCACTTAACCCCCATACATTCACACCATGCTCTGCTTCAGACCTTTGCAAAAGAATTGTGCTTTTTTTGTATGATGATACTATGTTTGATAGTCATGCCATCTGGCATGTTTGTGCATCCATCTTCTTCAGGTTCAGATCATTCTAAACCAATCAATCAATCAGTCATGATTTTTTATTGCCAATCATGTTAAACCTGATCAGTAGAACAATGAGAAGAATGGTACATTGCCTTAGCCCACCAAAAAAATGGAATCCTGTCACTACAGATAAATTTAATTCATAAAGACTGTCAAATACTCTGGGCAAGGTATGGCTATGTCAGCCTAAAAATCAGTGATTTACATGATGAGGACCAGCATTTGGGCCCCACCAGGATGTGTAATATCAGGCACACATACACACATCCTTGTTTTTGTCATGTCGGGTCACTACATGGACTTACATTCATTGCAAACTGCATCATGGGCCCCAACCTCAGGTCCTCACAAGTGACACTTGTCCCCGCAAAGCTAGTGTGCTCCTGGTTTTCTGTTCCCACAAGTACACACAAAGAAAAATCCGGGTTAACCACAAAAAAAGCTCCTAAATAGATAAATGTGAATCCCCAAATCTACAGTCCAGGTAGCTGTTGGACAGTTTCAGCATATGCAATAGAAATAAAATAAAATAATGGACAGTAGCTTAAGGTGCAGCCCTCAACTTTATTTTCAGTATGTTTATATAGGCATAGAAAGAACTGTGGGAGCTATAACCCTATTAACACATAATGCCTAAAGTTTAGGGGTTCAAAAGTGTTTTCTTATTGTTGATTTTCATTTGTACTCACCAGTGTTTTAGTCCATTCACTAAACCTCAAGTCTCAAGTCCCCATTGTTTGAGTCAGAGTCAAGTTCAAATCACCACACAACAGTCCAAGTCAAGTCCCCTTTACCAGAGTCTGAGTCATCAGGGTCTACATTGAACACAACTGACAGCTTTCACCATTTTAAAGGGAGTTTACTTCCTCTGTGTGACACAATAGCCAAACAAATGCACTCATAAGCACACATACACACATGATACTTAGAAGAGAACAGTGTGAATTTTTCTGATAGGCGGGGTGTACGCTTCAGTGAAAATATGCTGGATACAGCCTGGTGCAGGCCAACAGGTTTTAATATCAGTATCTAGGGTCAGACCATTATGGCCTCCTGCAAGCAAGACATTAGTCCTTGTCTCCAGCTTTCAAGTCCAAATGCAGCAGAGCTCGAATTTGAGTCCAACTCAAGTCACAAGTTCTGAAAATCAGCACTTGGACTCAGTGTCTGGTGAATGTTGTTAGGGTTTTTCCACTGTGACAGTGGAGTGTGGAGCTTTTCAAAAATGTTCATTACTCATTGCAGCAAAATGTGTGGAGAAGAAGTCCTAGTGTGAGTGTAGAAAATGTGTCTTTGTGAGGTTGCACTTCACTGTCTAATGTGAAGTCAGTAATAAACTTAAAATATGACAGAAATCGCAATAATAGATTTCAGTAAAATGGTATGTGATACGTCAATTTTAAGGTGATATTTGTGACCAGCAGCCAGAAATCTGTAAGATACTCCCAGAAGTGTGTAGGTAGAAAAATCTTTGCTGTCCAGTGTTATTTTTGAACTTATGCAGTTTGGGCACTTTGTGTTTAAAGGCTTTTGCACACATTTGAATATTGATATACTGTACATTTGACAAAATAAAGTTGAAAATTGGCACTTGAATGTAATTTTCATTATTTATATATAATGTATTGAAACAGAGGCTGAAGAACAAAAAATGTGTTACTGTCCAAGTACTTATGGTCTGAACTGTAACTTTGATTATAGTAATTGCTTCTTTCTTGTGCTAATTCAAAAGTTTATTTCTTTTTAAGTCAGCAGGTATAGTGGGACGTTGAGGCATGAAATGAGCCGGGACACCTGCTTCATCATGTTGTACGGCCAACAAGAGGAGACCCGTCTGGAGGACCTCTACACTGACACGCAGATGGAACTGCTGAATGACTGCAATGAAAGTCTGGGCTTTGTGGAGAGTCTGGACCAACTTCTAGGAGACCACGCAGTCTTCAATCCTCAAGGGGAAATTGTCTATGTAATGGGCGATGCTGGTGTGGGAAAATCCATCCTCCTGCAGAAGCTCCAGAACCTTTGGTCCAAGAAGGAACTGCAAACAGATGCCATCTTCTTCTTTAAGTTCCGTTGTAGGATGTTCAGTGTTTTCAAGGACACAGAGGAGATCTCGCTCAGAGACCTTTTGTTCAAATACAACTGTTACCCAGACTGTGATCCAGATAATGAAGTGTTTAATTACATCCTGCACTTCCCTGAGAAGGTTATTTTCACATTTGATGGCTATGATGAGATTCAGGAAGATCTAGACCTGATGAATGTCCCTGAAATGGTGTCACCAGAAGACAGCGCACACCCCCTCCAGCTGCTCGACAGCTTGCTCTGTGGGAAACTACTCAAGGGCTCTCAGAAGGTGCTGACAGCACGGACAGGGACTGAGATCCAGAGCAGGGTGATCAGAAAAAAGGTGGTTCTGCGGGGGTTCTCCCCAACTCACCTGAAGACTTACATCAATCTGCACTTTAAGGAGCAGGAGCATCGAGAGCTGGTGTCAGTTCAGCTGGATGCTAGCCCCCACCTCTGCGGCTTGTGCTCCACCCCACTGTTTTGCTGGATTGTTTTCAAGAGCTTTAGGCACCTGCACACCATGCATGATAGTTTTCACCTGCCCGACACCTGCATCACGCTCACTGACATCTTCCTCCTGCTATCTGAGGTGTTCCTTAGCCGCTCAGCCTCACCCGCTCCATCTCTGCTGAAGAAAAGCACTCGCTGTGCTTCAGAAACATTCAGAGTAGGCCTTAGGCCCCTTGCTGCATTTGCCAAGCTGGCACTTCAGGGTTTGGAGAGAGGTAGCTTCATATGCAACCAAGAGGATATCATTGCGTGTGGTCTGACAGAGGAGGACCTGCTGCTGGGCTTTCTTAGGCCTGTCAGTGAGTATGATGACAGAGGAAGCCCTGCTAACTTTGAATTCCTCCACATCACTCTTCAGTCTTTCTTAGCAGCATTTGCTCTTGTATTGGATGAGCAGGCTGCTACAAACTGTATTCTCAAGTTCTTCACAGAGTGCAGCAGGAGAAGGGAACCATCCTGCCTGCCTTTTGACCTCTGTATCAGTGGCTCTTCAAAGCCCAGCGAAAAAAATCCTTTTGCAACTAACGAGCACCTCCAGTTCACTAATCTGTTCTTGTGTGGACTACTATCCAAGGCTCACACCGGCCTGATGGTGTATCTGGTATCTCCTGTGTTACTCAAGAAAAAACGCACCTTGCTAAAATCTTACCTATCAACTAGTGTAAAGTCCCACCTTCGTGGCTTGCCCCACTACAACATTGAAGAAGGCAAAAAAGTCCATGTTCTGCCCAACTTCCTGTGGATGCTAAGGTGCGTTTTTGAGACCGGGAGTAAAGACATTGCTCAGATGACAGCGAAAGGCATTACAGCCAGCCTCATCAAGCTGGGCTACTGTAACGTGTACTCAGGTGACTGCACTGCCCTGAACTTTGTACTGCAGCATCGTCAGAAACTCCTGGGCCTCGACATGGATAACAACAACATCAGTGACTATGGGGTGAAACAGCTGAAGCCTTCATTCTGTAAAATGACAGTAGTGAGGTAAAAAGTACAGCATAAACATGTATTTAACTCCCTTCCCATCTCCAATGAGTAATCTTCAGAGGATTATACTATACATGTAATTCAAAGTACTAATTGAATTGCCTGTCTTCAGATTGTGTGTCAATCACTTGTCAGACAGCAGCATTGAGGTTTTGGCAGAGGAGCTGTGTAAGCACAAAGTTGTGGAGGTTTTGGGGTGAGTAAACTTATCAGTTGTTCCAGTGTACTTAAAAATGAAATGGTCTGCAGGCTACCTATTCTCAAGATGTGTCTATCAGTGGTAGAAGTACCAAGAATGTAAAAATACCAATGCAGCAACCAAAAAGTCAGGAAAAGTCCACCTTAGCTGACCTTGCTGGGCAGAGTTTCTTAAGAAGGCAGTCACACAGTACAGATTAAATTTATACCTGGCTGAGACCCGATCACAGTACGAGCTTGACCACCTCCAAATGTTGTCTGGCTGATTGCACTCTGGTCTAAATGTGATTTTATTTGCACTGGCAATAACATGTTTTTTTTCTTTATATCCAGATAGCATATCCTGATACAGTCTTTAAGACTCTCTCTGCTTGGTCACTGCTCACAGATACATTATAAACTGTTTTTCACAGGCTGAGTGGGACTAATAATGTCTAGTCAACTGAACCTTTTGATCTGTTTTATAGTAGCATAATTTTAGAAGTGTGTTAAATGTTGCTGATGGAAGCAAAGAGATCATTTTGTTGGACAGTTTGGCTCTGCTCCTTAATACACACTGTCAGCGTAAAAAACATCATTGCTGTCAGGTGTGGAAACTGTAGGCCTGGATTCTGCTCATGATTCCAAAAAGGCTTTGGCTTTCCCCTGCACTTTATGCAATAGTCACAGGGTTTTTAATGAGAGTTCAAGCAAATATTTGTAGATGCTGGTGCCCGGAGCCTTTAGCAGCTGAGTCCTTGGCAGAAACTGCAGCGCAGGAGAAGCCACCAATTTTAAAAAATTGAAAGGAAAAAAAGACTAGTCGTATAGTCGGTTCTAAATATTGCCTAACGCGACCAGTTCAAAACTTCATTTTTGTGTCTTGGGGTACATGCAGTAATATACAGTAATTATACTTTTGGCAGGGGTCCACAAATTAACCAGCAAATAAAGGTATGGTAGTACTTCAACAACAAGTGCTAGTACTATATAAAATACAGTTCTGCTTTATGTTTTTTTTTCCTCGGTCTTTAACCTTAATTTGTATTTTTGTCCTCAGGCTTTACAGCAATCACATCACAGATGTTGGAGCCAAGCTAGTTGCTCAGATAATTGAGGAATGCCCAAAGCTGCGAGTTGTCAAGTCAGTGTTTTAACTTTATACCAAGAAGAAATTATAACAATTATTAAATATGTCATTTTCTGTCAAATTGATACTGTCACCTTGCCCTTAGGATTGGTAAAAACAAGATCACTAGTGTTGGTGGGAGGTATTTGGCCAGTGCAATCCAAAAGAGCACTTCTATATTTGATGTGGGGTAAGATTTCACTGCTATGAAGTGTCTTTGCTGTTTGAGTTTAGAGGATATTCTTAAACACCTAATCTCATTAAAGTAATGGTTGTAAAGAAATAGCTATAATAATAGAAATAATAGCTTGACATTTTTGCTGTTTTAGATCGGTAAATATAGCTTGTTCTTATGAAAAGCACTGAGATTAGGACGAAGAAGCCAGTGACATGTAATAGTAACACTGTCTGAAAAGGCTTTGTAAAGCAGTGGTGTTATTACAATCTTTGAATTCATGCAGTACATATGAGTTATCTCACATTAAGTTGTTTGTTTTCAGAATGTGGGGGAACAGCATTGGTGATGAAGGTGCACAAGCATTCGCAGAGGCTTTGAGGCATCACCCACGCCTTACCAACCTTAGGTGATAATGAAAGTTCCCACTGAAACGTACTGATTTAAAGTCATTGTTTAAATAGAGTCATTTCTGTTTTCTAGTCTCTCAGCCAATGGTATCACATCAAAAGGTGGGAAGTGCCTTGCAGAAGCACTGAAGGAGAACAGCGTGCTCAGGATCTTCTGGTAGGCACGGCACCGATTGTTGAAGTTGTAACACAGGCATTCTTTGTATAGAAGTATGTGTGTGCTGTTGTAGGTTGGTGCAGAATGAGTTGGCTGATGATGCAGCTCCGCACTTGGCAGAGTTGGTTAAGGCGAACACAGGTTTATCCCACCTCTGGTAAGGAAAACACACACTCTGTTTATACTATATGATGTTGCCAGAGACCAGACTCATACCAATACCCTGCTCCGACATACACTCATCTGCTTTGCCTTTTACTGCAGGTTAATCAGCAACCGTTTCACCGTGCGTGGGATCGAACACCTTGCTGAGGCCCTTACAAACAACACAGCCCTCAAAGAGATATGGTGAGGAACAGTATACAGTAAGGCGTTTCTTTTTCTCTAATGACCTCCAAATGGTGTGGGCCAACTGTGTTCACAGACTCACTGGTGTGTAGCCTCCATCTGTGCTAACACTGAATTTTTAGCCATCTGTCAAACTAATAATGAAATGATCAACATAATTGCAGACAGTTCTCAGTTTTATTAAATAATTCTACAGCAGCAGCATAGTTAAAGTGTGACTTTAACTTTTTCTGAACAGCAGCCATTTGACAATTACAAGATAATGCTAGGTACTGAAACCTGTTATAAAAAGTGTACATGCAGAGAAGAGAAACAGAATTAGTAAAGTGACAACAAAACCTATCTCAAATTTGCTTGAGTCTGTAGCTTATGATTAGCCATCAGAAGCTACTAGTCATAGCGGGCCAAGTTAGAAGCTGAAGAACAGTGGTTTTATAGCTTTTACTGTATTTGCAGTGTTTCAGTTGTAGGAGCAAGACTGTGTTAATTCTTCTTTCAGAAGTTAGATTGTTCCACTTTAATGTTACAGTAGGGGCAGCAGGTAAAAGATCCTACTCGACCTTAAAAGGCCCTTTTCCGTCAGGTAAAGCTCTATCTAAAGCGCAATGTACTGTCCACTACCTGCGCAGCAGGCAGACATAGTTAGGGATGAACTGGTGAGCACAGTGAAGAGTTTACCAGCCAAAGACATGTTGGGAGAACTGGAGGCAAAAAACAGACCTAAAAGAGAGTGACTGTTGGGCTTGGGTTGATCAGGTTTGCTCAAACACCACCCATCCCAAAGCAATGGTAGCAATGCTTTGCAACTGCTGGATGTGAGAATAAGCAATTGTTCAACACATCAATCAGGTTAAAATATAAGTTGTTGCCACTGCCTCAGTTGGTCAAAAAAAAAGACAATTTGGTGATTGTGGTAGACCACTGGGATGCTCAGGTGTCTGATATATTAATGTCTGTAATTACTTAGTGTTACCTGCTCATAGTAGTAGTTGTAGAAGTAATTTAGATGACAGAATCAGGGCCATTCCAACATATTCCCCCCCTCTGTGGGCATGACTGAGACTGTGAGTAAGAGTCTGATGTCTGATCATGTGCCCACAGCATAAAAGGAAACCAGCTCTCTGAAGAGGAAGAGAAACAGTATGTGGCAGAGAAAAGGCTGCGCTTCCACTGACTGGGCGCTCATGTGAGATGAGCACAAGTTAAGTAATGCTGGAGTTCACTGTACACAAGCACAGCATTAGTATGAGTGAACTGATTAGGTATGGTGTTGCACCTGGCTGTGCCTGTTTGGACTGGTGCAGGAACAAAGACCTGTTTTTACTGAAATACTGTATATCCATCACTTGTTGGTGACATTTCTTTTGCCAAAATGTTTGAGAGTTTTACTATACATGACTGTTACAAAAAGGAAGTGGAAGCACTTCTTTCTTTGTGCATTGTTGATTTTAGACATGTTCTGTGTATGTATATACTGTAAACAGTAGCTGTTTTTATTTATTATTTCACTGTTACACAAGGAGAGTTGCTGGTGTTTTTCAGTCTGAAGACAATTCATAAAACAGTGTTATGTTTACTGTTTGGGTGACAGATCTTAGTGAGGAGACATACAGATATGTCTGGTGGTGAAAAGGCCGGTGGCCTCTGGTAACTGAGGACATTATAGGAATAAAATGTGAAGCTTGGCTCAGCAGGGACGCCGGCCCTATTCCATTCTTCTGATGTGCCTGATGGAGTCGGTGTGGACAGACTACTTGCTCCTGAGTGAAATAAAGTTAGCGTTTGTATTAAACGTAAACTTCATGGTAGGCTCATCACTGACGTCCATGTATAACAAATTATTATTAAAAAATAAATAGAACATGACACTGTTCACGCTGATTCAACAGCTGCTTTTTTACTTAAAAATTCTAATTCAAACACAAAATAACATGGCATTAAAATGTGATAAAGAATGATTGGCATCAAAATGGCTAACTCTTAATTGTATTTTGTAGCTTTACATAAAAGCAATGTTTGAACATATCAATTTTTGTCTAACATATTGAACGACACATTCTCTGTTACGCTTCATATGTAATGCTTGTTGGGGCTCAGAACTGGCAAGAAGTAAATTATGAAAATGCTAAAAAGTGCCTGGTTGTATAGTAGCTCATATAAGGCTTGTGTCTTCAGTGCCTCAATCTGTACACAGTACTGCTCAGTATATTTCAAAGACTGGATATAAACCCTTCCCAATCACTACCAAAGCTGAGCCATTGTATTTCTTTGAACACACTGTGATGTGACTAACACCAGTAGCACTGTTAACAGGGGATTTCTTACTACATGTGCAAAGAAGGGAAAACCCTGAGTGGTTGTGGAAATACCACACAGAACTGGCTCAACCACAATGTAGAAGAGAAGTTCACCCCGCTTTGAGAGACCGGTACCAGAGCCAGTGCTTTCATAGGATGCTCAGCGTCATATCTTTACAATGCCGTTTTACTGAGGATGAAGTCACTGATGAGGGGGATATTGCACAAAACCAAGATAAGGGATTAAGCCAGGATTTCCCAGTTATCTTGGCTGAATTTAGCCCTGACTCAGTTGTATGAAAGCAGGCTAACTTAAGATAAATTATGTTACCATGGAGATTTATTCTTTGCAGCTAGCCTGCTCCAGACAGCCAGGCTTGATTAATTGATTAATGAATTACTTCAGTTTATTTTGCATTAATAACATAGGCTGTATTAAATAGAACACTGAAATTAAATAATAGCTAATTATTACTAATAATATCAAAGAGATCGGCCACCTAAAACAGGCATTCAGCATTAAACAGCATTAAGCTCTTGTGACACTCTACTTGTGGATTAATCAATTTTAGAAGTTTTAGGTCTGTAAGAAGGAATATGCTACATATCACCCAGATTCCACCGTTTGTAGAATGAACCATATTTACACATTTAGGTTGTGAATTAATGGTTGTAACTAATCTTCATAGTATATTTCCTGAGTAACATTGTTTCAGTTAAGAACAATGATTACAAAATGTATATTTTAGGCGACTTAATGCATTTAGTCGGTCCACTACTGCCTATCACACTTGTTCTCAATGTTTTATTAGGTCATGTTTCAGTTTTTACAGGTTAACGTATGTGCTTGAATTCGCCATGTGTCTATAGGTGGGCATGCTCAATGGGTCTGAAATATACCGCATGTGTCTTTGATGGCTGTGCTTGAAAATCTGAACCGAATGGTGCCGTCCGTGCTGGTTGAGCATGGAGTCCATTTATTTTAACCACACTACTTAACACACGTGTGCTGACATGGCCAAATGGAACGCAGCTTCTATGTCAGCATCAGTGAATCTGATCAACCTCATGGTCTTTTGAAAAAAGCTGTGAACACATTAATTCATTTAATTCTGCTTTTGTGCAGTACCCCCCAGAAGCCAAGAAAGATCAAATGATCAGGTCACTTAATAACAACTGTGCACAGAGGAAGACCATGACCTGGCTGAAATCTCCACAAACACCACATACGTATGTGTCCTCTTTCAGAAACCATTTCTTTTGGTTGTTAGCTTCAGATTAATCTCCAAAAACATTTTACACCAGTTTTCACCTCTCTGGTTATGGTACGATTTAACACTGGCTTTTTTTTAATCTCGTGTTCATCATCAGCTAAAGAGGCTTTTCTTTTTGGCTGGGTGGGTGAGTCACTGTGCTACTGGAGACAGCTGTCAAATACAATAAAAACAGGATGACAGAGGACTGCAGTCATCATCATATCTACAAAGGCCAGACATGTTGCGCTTTTCTTCTATTATTCACAGACAGAAATTAAAATGTATCTCTAGTCAAACCTGCTCACACAAATCAGTTGTACAATCAGCTGTGAAAATGATAAGTGGTTGTCAATTCAGTCTGATTAAAGTGAGAAGTGAAGGTACAGTATGAGCCCTACGAAACGTCCATCACTCAGCTGAATGTTCAGACTATTGCTACAGAGAACATGGAGTCCACACTGCTCAGAGGAACTACACCACTGTGTGGTGGGATATGGTATTACAGGACTCAGATAATCTCATGAATGTACTGAGGTGGATCCCAAAACTCCAGAGTTTGTACCACGTAACTGAATGACAGGCAGCAACAGGACAGTTTGATCACTTAATTCTTCAAATGTGCGCTTTTGTTGACACTGGGCTTCCATTTGTTTGTTTACTCAAGACTCAAGTCAGATCTCTGAGTGTTTCAGAGTCTTACTTAAAGCATGTTGAAGGGAACGGTGTGTACAAGTCAGAAAATGGTCATCCAGTGTGACATATGAAGATTCACAAAGGTTGTTAGGGTTTCCAGCAGTCTGAGTTACATGTTAACTTGTGGAAAATATTTTTGCACAAAATGAGGACTTATTTTGTTCCCATCACTTTCATTGAAATCATTTGTCAAAGTGGTTAAAGCATAAAGTGAAGGAATTATTTCAGAGACTCCAAACTGTTTTACTGTACATACTGTGTGGCATCATGGGCAGGTGACTGCTTAGGATAGATTTTAAAACCCCCTAAACAACCACATCTGTCAAAGTCAATGACCCCAGTTTGTAACACACAAGTCTAAACTGAGATAATGTAAATGATGTCAGTGTTGTTTCCCCCCCCAAAACTTTAGAAAGCTCCCCCATAGTCAAAGAAGACATGTTGTTTACATATTTTCGTGGACTGAATAGTTGTCCCAGTTACTGTAAAATCATGTTAAATCATTGGGCGTCCCTTTAATTCAAATCTCACAAAAACAGTCTTAGCTTATACTCATTGTATTTTGTGGTGCTTAGAACTAAAACCATTAACAGGGTAGTATCCACTCCATCTGCAACATATACTGTATGTCCTATATTTGATGATGGAGTTGCAAATGAACTACTTCAGGTAGTCTGCACATTCATACTGTAATTTGCTAGTACCTTTCTACATGTTACATAACAATGTTGCATGTGCTGTACAGTAGTGGCTCATGCTGAAGGCAGGCCAGGTCACCGTCTGATACAGTCAGTAGATGTGGTTGTGAGGGAGTGGAGAAGTGGATTTGGTTTTCAGCAGCTCATTAATTCCTTTTCTCTGGTTCAAAGGGCGCTGACCTGGAAAATCAGCTGCTCTGTTGGTTGACTGGAAGGAAAACCTGTACACATATGCATATGGAGGTGGGAAACCACTGACACGTGCTGTACGGTGCATGCAGCATTTGATGGGTCAAACATTTTCAGAAAGTGTTAGTGTTCCTCCACTAGCACACTTCTGTGCTATGTAGGATGGATATGCAAGAGAAACTGGAAGCAATATGCACTAATAAAGTTGCTAGTAGGCAAATAATAAAGCAGCTTATTTGCTTGTCTAGTAGAAAAATGATCTCCAAGCACTGGATTGTGAGTCATGGGGAAAAGGAAGGTTGTGGAGGTAAAGGATGACAAATTCAAAGGGATCTTTGGAGCTTTGGGATCTACACTCATCCTGGAGTTCATTCTCTGATCGCTGATGAGCTTTGTCAGGGAAATTGGCTGACATATTGTCACTGGATTAAAGTCTGTACATTATTGTTCTGTAGAGGTCTTCAGGCAAATCTAACCGCTGAAACGACTGGATGCACACATCTGCCCCTCAGTCCTGTGTCTTGGCCAACATTACCTGGTCTGAATAAATGTAAGCTCGTTGACAGGAGTTTTTTGTTGAAACTGGCAAGGTCTGAGACCAGTCTGCTCCCGTCAACCAACTAAACAGTCGAACAAGTAAGTGACTTGTAGCATGGCCATATATTTCTCTCAAAACCTGTTGACAGCATTCCAGCTACTGTCTGTTCCTACTAATGTCAGAGTGAAGAACCTGTGCGCTCCTGCTTATTTACCTGGTGCATTTAAACCTGCAACATCTGCAATCCCAGCTGAAGGCAAAGTGGCGCCTTGATGGCCCAGGGGTTAAGGTGCCAACCATCACGTCTGGCTGGAGTTCTTGGTTGCATGTCATTTCACAGCTCTCTCTACTGTCAGCTATCAGTAAAATGGGTTTATTATCACCTATTTTGCATACTCTGAAGACTTGGTGAGCATCACAAGCCAGCCTGTTTGAAACTAGTACAGTGAGCGGTGTTGGATGCGTACAGTTACTAAGTACTGCCATAGAAGAGGAACACATAGAGCAGGTTTCAAGATTTCAAATTCGTTAAGCCCAGAATTATTCATACCCCTATGAAAAAAAAAGACAGTTTGCTATTTGTTTACAAATGAAAGCTTGACTGGTGAAATAAAGGCTTTACTTAATTACCTTCAGTTGGAAGGCACAAACCTTAATATATATCTCAGATTCACATTATTTATATATTAGAATTATTGGGATGCTGATTTTTGTGCCAGCCCATAATTATTCATACCCCTCACCTGCATCAGCTTTGAGTTTGTGGCAACACAACTGTTGCTTGGCACTCTCGTTAGTTCTACAATGATTCCAACCTGTTCCATCTTCTTGAACATGGCTTATAAGCTATAAATTTGGGGGTACTGATGCATTTATTGTTCATTTTGTGGTCAGCAGGGAAACATTTGCCATGGCCAAGAAGAAAGAACTTAGTGAAGACCTTTGTGTGTTGTGACTGCTCACAAGGAGGGAAAAGCTACAAGGCAATTTCAATTGCCAGTGGTCACAGTACAAAGCAAGAATCTGTGGAGGGAGCTTTAAACTCATGATAGCAAGGAAGCCTTCCAACCTCAAAGACCTGGAGGTCTTTGCAAAAGAAGAGTGGGCTGAAATTCACAAATCATTTGGAGGCTGTGACTGCCAACAAAGGCAGCTGATTACAGCTGATTACTAGGCAAGGGTATGATTAATTCTGGACATGACATTTTTTTTTAAATCTGTGAAATATCAAAATTGACTGTATTCCATAAAATGTCTTTTGCAGTACTTCTTTACAGCCTAACTAACCTTTGTATGTCACTTCAGTCAAAATAAATTAGTTCCTCACAAAAACAGTTCACATAATTGTAGAATTGGTATGGGTAAGAGGGTTATGGAAAAGCAACAGATGAAACAACTGATATTTGAAATTTAGATTTTAAAAGGCTCATGTTTTACAGAGTAAAGATGCTCCAATAGTGATCTTCAGTAGTAATTTAATGTAATTTTTATTTCTGTCTTTGTAGGTATGGTTTTAATTTCTTTTAGTTGCTAATTTTTTGACCTTTTTAAATAATTGCTTAAGTCATTCTAAGGGCATACAGATTCCTTGTAGTCTACTCTGTGTGCTCTATTCCTGTGGCAGTGCTTGATTTGTTCTAATGCTGTGCACCTGACACTGCTTACCAAAGGTTGCTGTACTGACTCACAGTGAGGAAAGGATAATCTGAAAAGACTGTGCTTATTACACTGCTGCATTATGAAACAATGGGACCCAGTTTACCTTCAGTTGCTACAAATATGAAGATACCATTATTAATACACACTCTACAAAAATTTTCACTCATGGTGAAAGCAACAAACTTATTTTTCCATCAAGTAACACCAAACAAAACAGACCAAATGTGACCAAAAAAAGAAAAGTAGGTTGATTCCAGTCCAAAAATAAAACTTTTCTCACTTTCTCACTGATGGAGAAACTTTACTGTTATGGGATCCTGTTGCTGGAACAAGATATTTTCCATGTTATATGACATTTTGTTATTACTACACACAAAGCTCTTGTTTTAACAAGAAACATTTCCTGTTATAACATGTCACCTTATCTTTTTATATCACAAAGCTGTGATGTTACTTTCCCAAACTGGTGTATCTCTTTAAAACAAAGGTTTGTGCTATTGTCATGATGTCATGTTGTGTTACTGTAGCTTGAAAAATATAAGATTAAAGGATCTAGTTTAAAAAAAAAAGTTCTTGTTATCGCAAGAAATGAAGTACATCTTGTTTTGTTGCTGTGGTGCACTGCTGCAGGTTCAGGACTGGGGACAGGTGTTTGGACCTGAAGACCTCCACTCCATGGTACATGATTCAAAAGCGCTGCAGACTGTGTGTGTGACAATATTCTCAGCTGAATGCTGAGATGGTCCTGCAGGTTCATCCAGTCCAGCTGGCTCTTCTCACACTCTGGAGTCCGCTGTGCTGCTCTGGCTGAATGTCACTGCATCAAGGCACTAGTAGACACTAATGCGGAGGAGGGGAGGGGCAGTGTAGAAGGGGCAAGGATGATCCATTATCGTCCCTGACAACCACCCCCCACCCCGCCTCCAGGGCCAATTCCACCTCCTCCAGTGTCCTGGTGTACAGTCAGCCAACATCTGGTGTCCAGTGGTCAGTCGGGAAGAAGAGCCCTGCCTGTGGTAACGCCCCGTGTGGCTGCAGGGGGTGAGGTGGGGACGAGTCCATGAGCATAGAGGTGCAACTCAAACATAAACAGAAAGTCTGTATCCCTGAAGATTGCTTTGAAGAGATTTGGCACACTGTGGTACTACATTATTGGGTAGTGGAGGTGCGGGGGTCACAGTATCCAGCGTCTCCCTGGATCCACAATTTATTATGTAGATCACTCTCATTGAGTACCTGCCCTCAAACAGCCAACAAAGAATAATTTTTTAAAATTCATACATTATTCTTAAAATGACATTCAAAACCATCATAATCATCTGGGATGACTGGGGCTACTTCACCTGTGCAAAACAGCTTTAATCTGATGGATGCTCTGGGCATGATCTGTTCACTTGAAACCACTCATCGATACAGCTGTGAACAGAAGAGCAAGAGAGAAGAGAAGATGGAGAGAAACAGCAGGCATAGGGCGGATCAGAACAGATACTGGTTCCATGGTCATCTTCATCAGCTCTGTTGGGACACACCTGCAGTAGAAACTGGGGGCCATATCAAGCGAGTCACTTATCCAACAAATGTCTGAAACAGCCGTGTCAGCCCCTCAGGTTTTACTCGGGTAGCTTTGATTGGTGAAGTTGTGTTACTGTTTAATTTGCTGTTATTTTAATGTCAATAATTTTGAATCTAAAGACCAATAACCAATTATATTAGGTGCATGAATGAGTGATAAGGATGAATATCATTTTATATTGTGTTAATTTCAGAAACCTAGAACATGTTTAAAGATAAAGTAAATGTTTTGGTGACTAATGCCTAAATTAAAAGCTTGATTAAGATATTTCAGTGCATTAATGTAAACCTGCATCATAATCCAGTATTTCACTAAGCAGTTATGCTCCTTGATGTGCAACACTGCCCACAGTGGATCACCCAGAGATATTAAAAGAGCAGCTATAAACAGAATGGATTCATATCTAAGTCTTGACTGGCGGTATTACTGGAGTTGGCTGAAATCCCATTTAATGGTGCTTGTCAATACAGCACATTTCCAAAACAGCAGCACAGATGGGTGGGGGTGTATTGCCGCAGGTATTGGTGAGGAAACAAAGTTGGATCCAGGAAGTCCAACATGAGGAAAGATTCATGGGTTTCAAGGGCTGTCAGACAAAACACTGCACAGTGCTTTCCAAATGGCACCTCTGGAGTGTTATGACTGCAACTACACTGTTGTCCTCTGTCATGGTAGTGGAGCTGTGTTCATATCCTAAAGGAATCTACCAGGAATGTATCTAACTGGCCAACACAGTGTGGTACTGGATAACACTGTGTTGCAGAGACAACTGTTTATTACCTATGTTTGAACTGAGGAAGGCGAGCCAGTCTTTCAAGCTTAAACACATTAAAAAGTGGCTTCATGTCATTTCTAATGTGTCAATAGGATCATTCTAAGCTATATAACAGCTCTAAATGAATTATTGTAACCTGCTTGTCATATACAGTAGCAGGACAGAAATCAAGTGCAGAGCTTCCTACCCTTTATGGTAGATGCAGAGGCAGGGCAGGCGAGCGATGGTGTCTCCCTGCACCAGTTCCTCCAGGCAGATTGCACATTCTCCTGCATCCTTACTGAGGACATCCTCTGTAAGACAACACACACACACACACCACAGGCATGGAGGAATTACAGGACCCATCTAACGTAATGCCTCTGTGACATGACACTGGAAAATGGTTAAAGATCTGCAGCTGTATTTATTTAGAGATACAATCGATGAATATGGATTCTGATTTAACTTAGTATATTGATCATCAGGTCAGGTTAAGCACTGATACTGGTATCAGCCTTGAAAATCTAATACTCTACATTTGATATATTTTAAAGCTTTGTGGAGAGGCCTCAAGTTCATTACAATCAAAACGGCATACTGGGAGTATTCAAGGTAATCTCGCAACATTGTGATGTGTAGTGTTCAGAGTTCACATTTTAACCTGAGGGTGGTGCTAGAGCAAAGCTAACGGAATTTGTTTGATTAAAGGGCTTTTTCCTCTGGTGACCATGAACCCCTGCAGCAAACCTGACCCAATCTGATACTTCTGTAGGTCAGTCCTGGCTCCATTATACAGAAAGAGACTCACATACCCATGTCCAACGCATAGACTCGACTACATTCAGTATTTAACAATATGGGGACAAAGAGAGCCAAACTCCATATCCATTACTGCACATACACATTGTTTTATATTGGAAAAACTGAAATGGAAGTAACATTTTAATAATACTGTACTTGCATGTATGTACATCCTGGGGCATTATGATCCCCAGAGAGAAACTGACATGTTCCTGAGGCACCTTGACAGGATGAGAAGTCAGAAAGTAGATAAACTATTTGAATTGAATAAATGTTAAGAAATGAGAGGGATGACACTGTAAGCTATACGCAACATACTGAAGGTTGAATTATGCAAATAAAGCCGTCCCTGGTAGGCTAGTGGTTAAGGCGCAGCGCTCTCGTCGCTGTGGTCCAGGTTCGAGTCAGGTTTGCGTCAGGAAGGGCTTCTCCACCGCTGCCTTTGTATTGATATTATCTGTGCTCAAAGTAGTGCTTTCGGCAACAAAAATTGTGACTAAATATCGTCGTCAACGAACTTTTATCACGTGGCGAAAACGACACGAGAAGCAACGAAAACGCTGGTCGTGTGACGATGACTATAATTAAATGTATAATACAATATTGTTGACGAAAAAAAAACGACACTAAATGTGGTTTACAAAATAAAAACTATGCTAAAATGTATTAATTTTCATTGACCAAAACAAGACGAAACGAAATGTTAACGTTATTTAGTCTCTTTCAGTCACGTTATTATTATTTTACAATATTTCTGTTTCCTGTGTTTCGCTTCAGGGGCCGCATCAGGTCGCACTGTGCAGACGCAGGCGACGTCACTTCCTTAAGCCCCAATTAAGTCTGACAAACATGGCTGTCCCATCTCTCCATTCCTGTTATGGTTTAGGTCCCCTCACCATAGGACTCAAGATGGCTGATCCATGTGCTAGTAAAAAACAGGTGGTTTTAATGGTAGGGATTACAAAAGAAAAAGAAACAGAGTCAATGAATACTGTAGTGATCCTTCAGTTGGCATGTTATGATGTTCTACATTGTTATGGTTCCTTGATGGGTGTGGAGCTTCAGGGGTTAAGAGGTGTGGTAGCGGGAGGGAGTGAAGTGTGGGGATTTGAGCTACAGAGGGTGTTAGCAGGCTGTTTTTCATTCTTATTGTTGTTGGGCTGTTGTTTTGGCGTGGTTACGGCCAACACATACCACCAGGGCTGAGCAAAGATGGCAGAGAACAGGACGAACAGGTACAAAAATAAACTAACGGCAGGAGGATGAGGACGGATAGGTGAATGGACAGGCTAACAAAAAGGATATCCACAGCACAGGAACTGTCAGCTTGGATAACAAAAGGTAACGTCTGGCTAACCTCATGGACAAAAAAACAAACGAACTGGTCCACAGCACAGGAACTGTCAGCGTGGATAACAAAATACGTCTAAAACACACCACGAAAAAAGGGCTGTTACGGGGTATGCACATTACAGTAGTTAATGCTGTAATGTTAGTCCCAGCTGTGCGCGATAACCCACAAGTCACCGATTACAAAAAGCGACACAGCTGAGGCGCTGATCCTGCAAAAAGAGCGAGCAGGACCTGACAATTCCTATTTATCATTGCCACAGAAATCCTTATCAAAAACTCCAATATTGCCCCTTTAAACGTTTTTGGGAAACCAGTAATTATTAGCCAATTAACGGACGACACAACCATATTTTTGCAACAACTGTCAGAAGTCCCCAATGTTCTTCATGCTATTCATACATTCTCCAATGCTTCTGGTTTAGAGTTAAATTTGAATAAATGTGAGCTTATGCTTATTCACCAATGCACTTTAACAGAGGCTTACAATATTCCTATCAGACAGATGGTTAAATACTTGGGTATACACATCTCTAGAGACTCAGCTGTATGTAATAAGAAAAACATATGGACGACTATCAATGAATGTCATTCTAGACTCAACCTATGGTTAATGAGAGACATCAGCTTAATGGGAAGGTTTTTTCTGACCAAAATGAAAAGCATCTCTAGGTGCATCTATCCAGCCTATTCACTAAGCATTCCAAACAATGCTATTAAAAAGATAAATAAAATTAACTTTGACTATATATGGAAAAATAAAGTGCTTAAGGATTTGTAGACAGCGAGAGAAGAGGAAAGGCAGGAGTATAGGTCTGAGAATAGGGACTCTTAACGTTGGCACAATGACAGGGAAAGGTAGAGAGCTGGTGGACATGATGGAGAGAAGGAAGGTAGATATATTGTGTGTGCAGGAGACCAGGTGGAAGGGTAGCAAAGTGCGTAGTGGTACCACATTCCCAGAGAAGTGTTTAAAAAATTAGGAGGCATAGAGTTTTTGCTTAAATGTGACTTTAATATCCCGAATCTCACGGTCAAATTATCAGTTTTTCATCAGCAAGTCTTACTATATTTGAAACTCCTATATAATCAAAACTTCACACCCCACAATACCCCAATCTGGAATAATATATATATATTAAGATCAAGAACAAATCGTTGTTCAATAGTGACTGGATGGAGAAAGGCGTTTGGTTGGTATTTCATCCTATTGACACAAATGGCTCCTTCTTATCATATGAAAGTTTTTGTGTCAAATATGGGAGAACTGATGATCGTAACACATTCAATGCTATAATCAAAGCAATCCCTACCTCCTTCTTGTGTTTGATTAAAGGGTATTTAAGTAATCCTACTCCATTCAGCCCATTTCTCCCACAGCTTTTAATTGGAGGCTGTGCTTTCAATCAACTCAAATACCCAAACAAAAAATTAAGAAATATCCTAAACAATATCTTGTGCCCTTCTTCTCAATACAGAAATTCTATCTTACAATTCTTTTCAAAGGAAACTGTTTGCTTGTTACGAACAAAGTATTTGCATTTCCCTGTTGCTCCAAAAGCAAAGGAGCTTCACTTTAAAACCTTGAATGGCATACAGTATATCCATCTAGTGCTTTGTTGAGACATCGATTTGGTATTGAATCCAATAACTGTATATTTTGTGACGGAGATTTATTTGTTTTTATTTTTATTTTTCTGCCGTCCCTGGTAGGCTAGTGGTTAAGGCGCAGCGGGTTCGAATCAGGGTTGCGTCAGGAAGGGCATCCGGCGTAAAACACGTGCCAAATGTCAACATGCGAGTCGTCAGTGTGACGATTCGCTGTGGTGACCCCTAAACAAGAAAACGCCTAAAGTGACAATCAAATTTATTTTTATCTTTCTCTCGTTCCTCTCTTGTTCTGTTCTTTATTATTGCACCTGTTCTATATTAATGTTATGGAATACTAATGCTTGCCACATTTGTTGTAAATACAACTGTTCAATAAAAAAAAAAAAGTTAACTCTGACACAGAGAAAGGGACCGATGGCCGACCAGCCGTGGTTTGTCTTTGGGAGAAAAGGAAGAAACAACATTTGGAAAAACTTTCATTACATAGAAATGGAAAAAAAAACTGAGTGTGTTGTGGAAAAAGATGGGGAGAAATGCGGCCACAAAATCACACAAAATGTGTATTGGATGTATTCTTGGGTCTAGAAGGCACATGTGTCAAACTCATGGCCCGCGGGCCACATCCGGCCCAGCGTACAATTACATCTGGCCCGCGAGATCATTTTATATATGTTTTTTTAATGGTCTGGCAATATGAAGCGCCAATAACACACAAACTACAAATCCCATAATGCAGCACAACAGCTGCCTTACCGAACAACAGCCTACCTGCCATCATTCCCGCGTCAATTACGTCAGATCAATCAAGCGTCTGTTGATGTATACAACCCTAATTTCAAGTCAAAGCTAGTCCCTAACAATGTCCAAGAGAAAAGACGATTCTGAAAAGAGCCTTTCTAAACCGGTGGGAGGCTGAGTATACAGTGGGTACGGAAAGTATTCAGAGCCCCTTATATTTTTCACTCTTTGTTATATTGCAGCCATATGCTAAAATCATTTAAGTTCATTTTTTTCCTCA